TACCATGTTGCGAAAACAAGGTCAAACAACCTCTTAACATAAATATGTTTAGAGACCATCAGTATCCCAAAGCATACTTATATCGAAAATAAGTAGCGCCGTCTATTGCAATGGCAAAAACACTTTTGCTTATTTTATAATTCTACAATAAATGAGATTTGGGAAAAGTTTGGCTTGCTTTAAATGGCACATCTCCCTTACGACCACCTGGCACACGTGTCTTTATGCTGGAGTGGTAACGTCATAACGGTACCCAAGGCCTGCTATCGAAAATGAAGTCCATACTGGACTAATAAGGAATTTAGAAGCCAAGGTTTGATTATTTTTAATTGCTTCATGGGGCTAAATCATCTGATTGTCGAAAAAGCTCAACAATCAGTATTTAAATCATCTTAAGCGATCTAGATTGACTAAGGACTGGTTACGTTCCGCAAGGCCTCTCTATCGCTCCAAGAAAGTTTAGAAAACATGGTCAAACCGACGCTATACTGCTAAAGGATACTGCAACCAAACAGAAGGCCACAACATCCTGGTCTTCATATCTACGATATAATTACGGTAAAAATATTGTCAGACAATGCAGCAATTACAGCAAATCTGTGAAGACAATCGTAAGTCTATCTTGCCACTTAACTTTTCCTAACTGCTGTAAGCGTTAGAGCATCTCTCATACTTTTTGCACTTCGATGAGAAAATATCATTCCGATTTGGTCAATGCTATATTATATCAAGCTTCTTTGCAAAAAATTAGAGGAGACATATTGTAAGAGGGGAAATTATTTAAGTTTGTAGATAGTGAGCTTAGACTCAGGCATGATTTGAGTAGGATTCTCACCCTGAAGGATTTTCCGAACCTACATAAAAGAAAGGATAAAATGTTGAACAGCTTCTCGGACTCAATTGATAGAAGGTTCCATAAGAAGCTGAATAAATATATGACAGCCCAAGGTCCAGCCAACCTCCCAAAACAAATATGACTCTATAATGAGTCCTGACAAGAATGAAGATAAAGTATTGAATCTGTCTTCTGT